AGCGGGATGGGATGGGAAAAGTGGGATAGGAGGGGGGAACTGGGATTGGGGAACTGGGATGGGATAGGGGAAACTGGGATGGGTTGGGAAGGGATGGGATGGGGGAAACTGGGATGGGAAAAGTGGGATGGGAGGGGGGAACTGGGATGGGGGAACTGGGATGGGATGGGGAAAAGCGGGATGGGATGGGAAAAGTGGGATAGGAGGGGGGAACTGGGATGGGGGAACTGGGATGGGATGGGGAAAAGCGGGATGGGATGGGAAAAGTGGGATAGGAGGGGGGAACTGGGATGGGGGAACTGGGATGGGATGGGGAAAAGCGGGATGGGATGGGAAAAGTGGGATAGGAGGGGGGAACTGGGATGGGGGAACTGGGATGGGATGGGGAAAAGCGGGATGGGATGGGAAAAGTGGGATAGGAGGGGGGAACTGGGATGGGGGAACTGGGATGGGATGGGGAAAAGCGGGATGGGATGGGAAAAGTGGGATAGGAGGGGGAACTGGGATGGGATGGGGGAAACTGGGATGGGAAAAGTGGGATGGGAGGGGGAAACTGGGGTGGGATGGGAAGGGATGGGATGGGGAAAAGCGGGGTGGGATGGGAAAAGTGGGATGGGAAAAGTGGGATAGGAGAGGGGAACTGGGATGGGATGGGGGGAAAGTGGGAAGGGATGGAGAAACTGGGATGGGGAAAAGGGGGATGGGATGGAGGAAACTGGGAAGGGATGGGGGAAAGTGGGAAGGGATGAATGGGAACACTGGGAAGGGATGGGGAAACAGGGAAGGAAGGGGAAACAGGGATGAAATGGGATGAGGAAAAACAGGGAAGGGATGGGAATGCCAGGATGAGATGGGGGAAACTGGGAAGGGATGAGGGAAACTGGGAAGGAAGGGGAAACAGGGATGAGATGGGATGGGGAAAAACAGGGAAGGGATGGGAATGCCAGGATGAGATGGGGGAAACTGGAAGGGATAAGGGAAACAAACTGGGAAGGGATAAGGGAAACTGGGAAGGGATGGGGAAAACTGGGAAGAGCTGGAGGGAAACTGGGAAGGGACCAGCAGGGAAAGGATCTGGGGGAAGATTTTGCAGTGTTTGGCTTCTTTTCCCACTTTTCCTGCTTTCCATGCTCTTTTCCCACCCTTCCTCACCCTATTTCCTCCTTCCCTCATTCCTTTTCCATGTTTCCATACCTTTTTTCCTCCTCTCCCTGCCCCTTTTCCCTCCTTCTTTTTTCCTTTTCCCTCCTTCCTCCTCCTTTTTCTCCTTTCCTCTCCCTTTTCCCTCATTCCTTTTTCCTTTTCCCTCCTTCCTTTTCCCAGATTTCCACTCCAGACCATTCCCAATCTCCTAAAGTTTTTAAGGCTTTTCCTTTCCTTTTCCCTGCCCAATTCCTTCCCTTCATCCTGACTCCAAAACACAGTTAATTCCCTTTTTTTTTTTTTTCCCCTCCACCATGATAAACAAATCCCTGGACAATCCTTCCCATTCCCAGTAGCTGTAGTTTTCTTGGCATTCCCTTTCCTGGGTGATATCCATGGAAAATCCACTGTCAGGAAAGTTTGGGAGAGGTTGCTAAATCCAAGGATTACGTCAAGCTCATCCCAAAGTGCCAGAGAAAGTTTGGATCTTCTTTTAGAGTTCAAATTTCACCAAAACAAGAGAAAAAAATAAAAAAAGGGATAAACATGGATTTTCCTGCTGCTGGAATAACAGGAATTTTCCATCCTAATCCTTAAGGAGTCACTTGGGAATAAGTTTGGGCTCCTGGTGATTCCGTGGCTGCTTCCAAAGGGTGAGGCCTTGGCAAAGTTTGGGATTGGAAGCTCCAGAGCCATATGGAATCGTTTATCCCGATGGATTTCCTGTCCAACTCGGCTGTGCCGAAGGATCTGTGCCAACAGGGGCTGGAATTGTATTCCAGATGGGATAAACAGGTTGGATTGATGTTTGGAGCTGTGGTATTCCCAGTTTGGAGCAGCAAATCCAAAGGTTAAGACCAAGCAGAGCTTTCCTAGCTCCTAAATCCATGGATTTCCACCCTTCTCACCCCCACAAAGAGTCCTGATTCCATGGGAATTCCAATTCCATGATTCCCCAACATTTCCCTCTCCCTCGACAACATCCCAGAGGAGAATCCTCCAATTCCCATCTGGAAAATCCTTTGGAATCCCTAGGAATCTCCTACACTCTCAGCCCCCAACACTCCCCTCTCCCTTCCCACAACATCCCAGAGGAGAATCCTCCAATTCCCACCTGGAAAACCCTTTGGAATCCTTGAGAATCCTTTGGAATCTTGCAGAATCTTTCAGAATCCTTAGGAATCTTCCACCCCTCAGCACTAACACTCCTCTCTCCCTTCCACAACATTCCAGTAGATTTCCCACCTGGAAAAATCCTTTGGAATCCTTTGGTATCCCTAGGAATCCTTCGGAATCCTTCGGAATCCTTGAGAATCCTTCAGAATCCTTCAGAATCCTTTGGAATCCCTAGAATTCCCTAGGAATCTTCTATACTCTCAGCCCCAACACTCCCCTCTCCTTCCTGCAACATTCCAGTAGATTTCCCACCTGGAAAAATCCTTTGGAATCCTTCCAGAATCCTTCAGAATCCTTCAGAATCCTTTAGAATGCTTTGGAATCCCTGGAATTCCCTAGGAATCTCCTACACTCTCAGCCCCAACACTCCCCTCTCCCTCCTACAACATTCCAGTAGATTTCCCACCTGGAAAAACCCTTTGGAATCCTTGAGAATCCTTTGGTATCCCTAGGAATCCTTCAGAATCCTTTGGAATCCTCCAAAATCCTTCAGAATCATTTGGAATTCCTAGAAATCCTTTGAAATCCCTGGGAATCTCCCACTCCTCAACCCCACCACTCCCCTCTCCCTTCCCACAACATCCCAGTCCATTTCTTTCCCCATTCCCACCAGGAAAAAACCCTTTGGAATCTTCCCAATTCTCCCATCCCATCCCAGAACTTCCCAAATCCTAATCCCTATCCCTTCCTCTCTCCCAAAACTCAGCCTGGCTTTGGAATGGGATACTGAGCTCCTGTTTTCCCAGCCCCATTCCAAGTTTTTTTGGGGATTTTTTTTTTTCCTGGCAGTGAACGTGGTGGAAGCTCTGCAGGAATTCTGGCAGCTGAAACATTCCCGAGGTGCGGAATTACGGCACGGAGCTCTGGTCCTCTACGAGATGGTGGCAGCTGCCACTCCTCCCTACGTCTGCTTCGTCACCCTCCCTGGGGGCAGCTGCTTTGGCAGCTTTCAGGTATTTCCAGAGCCTTGGGAATTCCCTAGGAATCTCTAGGAATTCCCTAGGAATCCCTAGGAATCTCCTACACCTTCAGCCCTAACGCTCCCCTCTCTATCCACAACATTTCCAGTAGATTTCCCACCTGGAAAAACCCTTTAGAATCCTTCAGAATCCTTTGGTATCCTTCAGAATCCCTAGGAATCCTTCAGAATTCCCTAGGAATCCTTAGGAATTCCCTAAGAATCCCTAGGAATCTCCTACACCTTCAGCCCTAACGCTCCCCTCTCTATCCATAAAATTTCCAGTAGATTTCCCACCTGGAAAAACCCTTTAGAATCCTTCAGAATTCTTTGGTATCCTTCAGAATCCCTAGGAATTCCTAGGAATCCTTCAGAATCCTTAGGAATATTTGGGAATTCCCTAGGAATCTCCTTCATCCTCAGCCCCAACATTCCCCTCTCCCTCCACAACATCCCAGTAGATTTCCCACCTGGAAAAACCTTTTGGAATCCTTCAGAATCCTTTGGTGTCCTTCAGAATTCCTAGGAATCCCTAGGAATCCTTTGGAATCCTTCAGAATCCCTAGGAATCTCCCACATCCTCATTCCCAACACTCTCCTCTCCCTCCACAACATCCTAATAGAGAATCCCACAATCCCAGGAATGACTCCTCTGGATTCCACTGGAATCACTTCCCAAGGATTTTCCTGCTAGTTTGGAGCTTGGGAATGTTGTGGCTTTGCCTCCAAACTTTCTTAGTTCCCAGATTTTCCTGGTCTGGAAATTCCAGCAGATCCCAATCCATGATCCCAATCCCAGGAATGGCTCCCTTGATCCTCCCTGGGATCAATTCCCAAGGGATTTTCCTGCTGTTTTGGAGCTTGGGAATGTTGTGGCTTTGCCCTTAAACCTTCTTAATTCCCAGTTCCTCCCAGTCTGGAAACTCCCCCAGATCCCAATCCATGATCCCAATCCAAGGAATGACTCCCTTGTGTCCCACTGGAGTCACTTCCCAAGGGTTTTCCTGCTATTTGGGGCTTGGGAATATTGTGGCTTTACCTCCAAATCCCTTTAATTCCCTTTGGATTTAATTCCACCAGGAATGACTCCCGTGGATCCCACTGGAATCACTTCCCAAGGATTTTCCTGCTAGTTTGGAGCTTGGGAATGTTGTCCTTAATTCCCAGTTCCTCCTGGTCTGGAAATTCCAGCAGATCCCAATCCATGATCCTGATCCCTGCACTGCTCCCTTGATCCCCCTCTGGGATCACTTCCCAAGGGATTTTCCTGCTAGTTTGGGAATATCATCACTTCACCTCCAAACCCCTTTGATTCCAATCCCCTTTTCCCTCCCCCAATCCCATTCCCAATCCCAATCCGTCCCCACCCTACCTTGAATTCCCACAATCTCCACCATTCCCTGCCCAAAATTCCCATTCCCTTTCCAACCTCTTCCCAAACTTCCACCTCAACCCACTCCTCTCCCATCCAACCCTTCCCACCCTCCATTCCAGACTGGGAGAAGAGGTTGGAATCCTTGGAATGTTTTCCTTGTATCCCTAGTTTTGTCCCACCAAGGCTGAGGCTCGACGGAGCGCGGCCAAGATCGCCCTGATGAATTCCGTGTTCAACGAACACCCTTCCCGACGGATCACCGACGGATTCATCGAGCGCAGCGTAGCCGAGGCCTTGGCCTCCTTCAACGTAAGGAAATTCCAGGAAAAATCCTG